GTCTTATGTATTTCTGCGGATTCTTTCTATATCTTGATACCAGACTCTTGTTGGTGACATCTGTTGAAATTCTCCCCCATCCCTTGACTCTAACACTGAGGGAGTGTTTTGGGCCCATGCTGTGTGGGCCCCTCTGCACTGGACCCAGACCAGCGATTTTAGCCCAGTCTAGATCCTGGAAGAGCCTGGCTGCTGACAAGAGGGTTTAGGGTTCTTATTCTTATCTCCTTTCTTGGTGCCCTGGGTGCAAATTTACTTATAGTTTTTGACTTTTGTCTAGGAGTCTCCAAAAGAGGGGGAGTAGAAATGTACTCAATAAACATTGTGAATCACATATGGGACAGGTTTTCACTTCTTGTATGCAAAATAGATGCTAAATGTAAGGGTGGCTGGTGGCTAGAGAGTCAAGCCTGCAGTCAGGAAGACTCGAGTTCAAATTCAGCCTCAGACACTTCCTAGCTGGGTGACCCTGGGCAAGTCACTTCACTCTGTTTTGCCTCAGTTTCCCCATCTGTCAAATGAGCTGGAGAAGGAAATGGCCAACCATTCCAGTATCTTCGCCAGGAAAAGCCAAATGAGATCATGAAGAGTCGGATGTGACTGAACTAATTGAACAGCAACAAGGTTACTGCCTCGTGGCTTCTGTCTGGTCTGTTCAGACTTCAACACTTTCTATTTTTCAACATTTGCTTCCATAAGATTTTGAGGTCCAAATTTTCTCTCCCTCCCTCCCACCCCCCACTCCAACATGGCATGCAATCTGATAGAAGTGCTGCACATACATTCTTATTAAACCTATTTTTCACATTAGTCATGTTGTAAAGCAGAATTAGAACCAATGGGAGAAACCATGACAAAGAAGAAACAAAAAAGAGTCTGCTTCCACCTGCATTCAAGCTCCGCAGTTCTTTCTCTGGATGTGGACAGCATTTTGCATCATGAAGCCTTTGGAGACGTCTTAGATCCTTGCATTGCTGAGAAGGGCCAAGTCTATCAGCATTATTCATCGCACAACGTGGCTGTTGCAGTGTACGACATTCTCCTGGTTCTGCTCACTTCACTCAAGAAATTAAAGCTATCTATAGTCATATGAAAAAAATGCTCTAAATCATTATTGATTAGAGAAATGCAAATCAAAACAACTCTGAGGTAGCACATCACACCTATCAGATTGGCCAACATGACAAAACAAGAAAATGATAAATGTTGGAGAAGATGTGGGAAAATTGGAACGCTAATGCATTGTTGGTGGAATTGTGAACTGCTCTAACCATTCTGGAGAGTAATTTGAAACTATGTCCAAAGGGCTATAAAAAGGTGCATACGGGGCAGCTTGCAGTGAATAGAGGTCTGGCCTTCGAGTCAGGAGGACCTGAATTCAAATCTGACCTCAGACACTTGACACTTACTAGCTGTGTGTCCCTGGGCAAGTCACTTAACCCCAATTGCCTCACTAAAAAAGAAAAAAATGTGCATACTTTTTGACCCAGCAATACCATTTCTAGGGCTGTGTCCCAAAGAGATCATACAAATGGGAAAAGGACCCACATGTACAAAAATATTCATAGCAGCTCTTTTTGTGGTGGTGAAGAATTGGAAATTGAGAGGATGCCCATCCATTGGAGAATGGCTGAACAAGTTGTGGTATATGAATGTACTGGAATACTATTGTGCTATAAGAAATGATGAGCAGGCAGACTTCAGAAAAACCTGGAAAGACTTGCATGGACTGATGCTGAGTGAAGTGAGCAGAACCAGGAGAACGTTGTACACAGCAACAGCCACATTATGGGATGACTAACTTTGATGAACTTAGCTCTTCTCAGTAATGTAAGGATCTAAGACATCTCCAAAAGTCTCATGGTGAAAAATGCTATCTACATCCAGAGAAAAAACTGTGGAGTTTGAATGCAGATTGAAGCACACTATTTGCTCTTTTTTTCCTTCTGTTTTGTTTCTTCTTTCTTATGGTTCCTTCTATTGGTTCTAAGTCTTCTTTACAACATGACTAATGTGAAAATATGTTTAATAGGAATGTAAATGTAAAGCCTATATCAGATTGCATGCTGTCTTGGAGAGGGAGGCAGAAAGGGAGGGGGAGAAAATTTAAAACTCAAAAGCTTATGGAAATGATTGTTGAAAACTAAAAATAAATTTAAAAAATTTCTTTATTTGAAAGCTGCCTGTTCATATCCCTTGACCATTTATCAATTGAGGAATGACTTATACATTTCTATAATTCTTATAAATTTGACTCAGTTCTCCATATATTTTAGAAATGAGGCCTTTATGATAAGAGACACTGGCTGTCAAAATTATTTTCCAGCTTTCTGCTTCCCTTCTAATATTGATTACAATGGTTTTGTTTGTGTAAAAACTTTTCAATTTAATATAATCAAAATCATCATTTTGCATTTCATAATGTTCCCTATCTTTTGTTTGGTCATAAATTCTTCTGTTCTCCATAAATCTGAGAGGTAAACTATTCCTTGCTCTCCTAATTTGCTTATAATATCAATCTTCATATCTAAATCGTGTACTTATTTTGACTTTATCTTGGTATATAATGTAAGATGTTGGTCTATACCTAGTTTCTGCCATACAATTTTCTAGTTTTCCCAGCAGTTTTTGTCAAATAGTGAGTTCTTACCCCAGAAGCTGGGGTCTTTGGGTTTATCAAATAATAGATTACTATAGTCATTGACTACTGTGTCTTGCATATTTAACCTATTCCACTGATCCACCACTCTATTTCTTAGCCAGTCCCAAGCAGTTTTGATGATTGCTGCTTTAAAATATAATTTAAGATCTGGAGTGGCTAGGCTACCTTCCCTAGCATTTCTTTTCATTAGTTCCCTTGATATTCTGGACCTTTTGTTCTTCGAGATGAATCTTGTTATTATTTTTTCTAGCTCTGTAAAATAATTTTTGGTAGTTTGATTGGTATGGCACCAAATAAGTAAATTAATTTAGGCAGAATTGTCATTTTTTATATTAGCTCAGCCTACCCATGGGCAACTGATGTTTTTTCAATCATTTAGATCTGATTTTATTTGTGTGAAAAGTGTTTCATAATTGTGTTCATGTAGTTCCTGGGTTTGTTTTGGTAGGTAAACTCCCAAATATTTTATAATGTCTGCAGTAACTTTAAACGGATTTTCTCTTTCTACCTCTTGCTGTTGGGCTTTCTTAGTAATATATAGCAATGCCGATGATTTGTGTGGGCTTATTTTATATCCTGCAACTTTGCTAAATTTGTTTATTTCAAGTAGCCTTTTACTTGATTCTCTAAGAATGCTATCATATCATCTGCAAAGAGTGATAGCTTTGTTTCTTCTTTGCCTATTCTCTTACCTTCAATTTCTTTTTCTTCTCTTATTTCTAAAGCTAACATTTCTAGTACCGTATTGAACAACAGTGTTGATAATGGACATTTTCACCTCTGATCTTATTGGAAATGCTTCTGTACAGCTTACATTTCTAACAGAATGGCAAGTAATGGTAAAGACAGGGAGCCTCTTCACCTTATGGATGGGGCGTGAGCATGTGTGTGCAAGTGTGTATGTGTGTACATATGTGGAAGGGGTACCTCCCTTTCCAGTCCTGTGCTTCTCAGCTTTGGGGACAGGGGCAGCTGGAGTTTCCCCCGGGGTCTCCTTTTCTTCCTGCTCCCCAGCCTCCAGCCGCAGGTTGGGTGCCATTCAGTCTTCTTTCTGTGCCTGGCCCTGGGTTGACTGGCCTTGGTCTTCTTGGCTTAGAGGTGGCCTCTTTCATTTCCAGCCCCTCCCCAGGAGGAAGGCTACAGTGGTCAGCGGTTTGCCCAGACTCAGGATACTTGGGGCATCTGTCTTTGCCCCTGGGGGCTATGCCTGCATGAGGTGCCCCTTAATGGTTCTCCCTCCCTCCCTCCCTCCCTTCCTCCCTCCCTCCCTCCCTTCCTTCTTCCTTCCTTCCTTCCTTCCTTCCTTCCTTCCTTCCTTCCTTCCTTCCTTCCTTCCTTCCTTCCTTCCTTCCTTCCCTTCTTCCTTCCTCCTTCCCTCCTTCCTTCCTTCCTCCTTTCCCTCTCTCCTTCCTCCCTCCTTTACTTTTTTCTTTCTTTCTCTATCCTTCATAAACTTTATTTTTAAAAAATTTAAATAGATTTTCTTTGATTTCTTCTGTCTTACATTGCCTAAATTTTCTTCTGAATCTCTCTTCTCCCAGAGAGCCATGCTTTAAAACGAAGAATTTAAGAAAAAGGAAGACATTAAAAATCATTGAGCAAAACTGATTAAACGATCAAGAAAGTCTGATGGTATCAATGCTACTTCAGGCCGATGGACCATTACCTCTCTGGGCTGGCTTTCGTGATTGAAACCTTCAGTACAAGGAGAGGAAAGCAGCCCCTGTAACGTGCCTGACTCCTGAGGGAGGGCGCAACCTTTTGGCCCCCACCCCCCATCATGGCCTCAGATTCAGCACAGAGGCCTCCCTCTTTTCCCTGACAGTTCTCTGCACAGCTCAGAGTCAGCAGTCGGGGGGTGGAGGGTGGGGGGTGGGGATGGGGGAGGGGTGGCTGCTAACATAGGCCGTCAGAAGCTTCTAGAGGGGCCAGGACTTGGCTGGAAGCTGGGCTCCTCCAGATGGCCGATGGGGCGCAGAGGGGGCTGCACCTCTCACCCTGCTGGGCTGGCTCTGGGCTCTGAGCCCTCCTGGGTCCCCAGAGCCACTGGCAGCTTCCCAACTCTCCTGGGACTTTGGCCCAGAGCCCCCTTTCTCCCACCCCAACATCCCTTCTGCTTCCTTCTCACCTGGAGGAGTCCTGCAGGGACCGAGCATCTCTATTCTGGCTTTTTCATGGAAGCAGTCAGGTTTGTGATTCGGTTTGGGTGAAGAAGCCCTCCAGATTTGGGTGGGCCTCTTTCCCTGCCCTCCCTGCCTGCCAGACCTTTCTTTTCTATGTCCTGTCTGACCCCTGGCTCCTGACTGAGCCCACGCTGCCCCGTCTCTTTCCTTTCCAGGGCCCAAAGCACCACGGCAGGACAGTCTCTCCAGACCTCTCCCCTCTGACTGACCTGAGCTCCTAGGCAGTCCCATGGCTCGGCCCCTGTTGTCCACGAGGGAGAGACATCTTTTGCCGCTTCTTCATCCCTGACACAGGACACCTATCCAGCAGCAGACGGTGGGCCCGAGGTATGTGGCTAGTGAGGCTGGGCTGGGGCCCTTTAGAGCTGGAGGGGGCTTAGAAGTTGTGTCCCCGCTTGATAGGGGAGTGAACCAAGGAGGCTGAGGAAGGGGCAGGGGCCTTGCCAAGGTCTCCTGGGCAGGCCCTGCCCCGTGCTGAGGGTGTTTGTGCCTGAGGGTCTGCATGTTGTCCTCCCTTGGACGGTGAGCTCCTGAGAGCAGGGGCTGGTTCTGGCCTCCTTGGTAAGCCCCACACAGAGCCCAGGGCCTGGGATGGCATGAGTGCTTGGGAGATGCTCCTTGCCTGCCTGACGGACCAATGACCAGATGGGTCGAGCCATCTTCTTGCCAGCTAATGAGCTCACAGTCCTGCCCTTTTCCAGGTGGCTCTGGAGAGAGGTGCTCACCATTACTGGAGAGCAAAGCGCAATTAAGGCTTCCAGGTCTAAAGTCAGTGGCTGTGGCTGGTGAGGCTGGGCAGCGCGCTTAGTCAGACACCTCTGAGAGACGATGGAAGGACTTTCCAGATTGGGAGCTCCCTGTGCCAGTGATCTCGCGGGTCCCACAAGACGGCTACGACAAGCAGCACCCACTTTTTACTTAGCAGCCATGGCAAAGTCACTTCATTTCTGAGCTTCTTTCTCACTGCTGTAAAACCGGGCTAACCTTGCTTGGGTCAAAAGCCTGACTGGGCTATCGTGATGGCAAGGAGACTCTCTCCGCTGCTGCAAGTGGGGACCCTGCCTGGGGGCAGTGAGAAACTCAAGTGACCTGTCTAGGGTCTCCCTGCTCCAAGGTGGGCTCTCTCCACTGCCCTGCCATGTCTCAGCAGCATTATTATTATTTTTTTTTGCGAGGCAGTTGGGGTCAAGTGACTTGCCTAGGGTCATACAGTTAGCAAGTGTCAAGTGTTGGAGGCTGGATTTGAATTCAGGTCCTCCTGACTCCAGGGTCATTTCTCTTTCCATTGTACCACCTAGCTGCTTCTCTTAGCAGGATTATTACAAATTGTAAGTCTACGAGCTAGTGACACTAACCTGAACTCCAAGGGCTCTGGTCTTTTTAGCTAAATCTCTAGCCTTGAGGAGAAGACGGAGGGAAGTAGCAATACTCAGGTAGATAAAGGATGGAGGTCTGCAGTGGAGTGCCCTGAGGACCTGCTGTTTGACCTATTTGTAGGTGGCTTGGATAGAGGCCTACGTGGCATGCATACGAAGTTTAGAGATAATACTAATTGGGAGCGGGGCACACATTGAACTGCAGACTCAGAATCCCCCCTCCCCTCCAAGCCCCCAGACAACCAGACACTGACAGGTTAGAACTTTGGTCTGGGGTTGATAAGTTAATAGTCATACGTGTAAAATCATTGCCTGAGTTCAAGCCATTAGGGATGACGTGGCAAGACAGCAGTTTTCTATGGAGTCATCAGGGGGTTAAAGTGGATCCCAAGGTCAGTGGGATGCAGGAGCCAAGAAGGCCAAGCCTCCAGACTAGGGAGGTAAGAGGCCTTCTGTCCTCCGCCCTGGTCTGACCCCATCTGGAGTATTGCCAGGGTTAAAGAAGGAGGACGTGGAGAAGCTGGAGGCGTCCAGAGGAGGACGATCAATATGGCGGAGGTCTGTGGGCCACAGCATGTCCTCACGTTGGGTGAAAGAATCGTGTGTGTTTGGCTTGGAGAGGAGAGGGTGCAGTGCAGTGCAGACTGGAGAGCTGTGTGGTCTGGGGGGGAGGGGCGAGCCCTGTTCTGCCTGGCCCTGGGGCCCCCAGGAGAGCTCTTCAGGGCAGCTGGGATGACCTCTAGCTGGAGTGCTCCAAGCCCAGGAGTTTTGTTTGGGTCATCGCTGTGCTGGCCTCCTCGGTGTCCCTTCTGACCTCCTCATGGCCTCTCCTCAGCCACCCACCAGATCTGACCTTTTCTTTCTGTTTTGATAGAGAACTTGTCCCAGAATGGCCAATACAAAGATATTGGTATCCTGAGGGCAGTACACACGTGCACATGTGTGCTGTGTGTGTGTGTGTGCGTGTGTGTGTGTGTGTGCATGTGCGCGCGCATGTGTGCCCGAGAATTGGGCCCTGCTGGTCTGAATCTGCACATCCTCCCTACTCTGGTCTTGGTGCTTGGGAGCGTCTCACTCCTGCTCTGGCCCCACATTCTTGCATCACCCCATGTCCCCCAAATAAGCACCCCCCCAAAACAAATGTGTGTAGTAGCCCCAAGCATGTGCGTGCAGTGGCCAAGCCTGAGCCTCTGAGCCTTCTGCTGCCCTTCAGCCCATCACTTCTTGGCCAGGAGGTGGGTGGCCTCTGCAGCCCTGACCCTGACTGTGACCTTTCCCCTCCTGCTCTCTGCTCCCTGGGCCTGGCTCCCGGGAGCTCTGTTTACAGGGACTGAGCTGCTTTGTGGTAGGGGTCCTGGGGAAAGAGGGGGATCAGGGGGCGTCTTGGGGCATGGGGTCCCATGGGGATGAGCAGACAGACTTTCCTTCCTTGCAGCATCTCAGGGCCCTGCCTTAGACCATCCCTTGAGCTGGGTCAGCAGCCCAGGGTTGGGGGGTGGAGGGAGGTTGCATCAGCCCAGTCTGCCCAGGATCCCTGGCCTGGCCAGTCTCCACCACGCAGTGGTAGCTGGCCCTTGGACTGGGCATAGTCTTCTGGCTGGGGTGTGAGGGCCTGCAGAACCCGGTCTCACACTCAGTGTCCCGTGAGCTAGGAGGACAGGGGGAGGACCTTACCAAGTCTCTGGTTACAGGTTGGCTTCCTGGGCTGGGCCCGGTTGGTGGGTGTGTCTTAGCACTGTGGGCAGGAAGGAGAAAGAGCAGGAGAGGCAGAGGGGGAAAGAGAAGAGGGAGAGTGTGAAGGAGCTAGAGTGGGGGGAGACAGGGAGGGAAGTACTGGAGACCCCAGGCTGCAGGGCTGGGAAGTGTTGGGGGCCTCCCAGAGACACAGAGGACCTGCCTTTGGTAACCTTGACAAAGTCTTTTCCCCTGCTTGGCCTCAGTCTCTCCATTTGTTCAGTGGGGTTTGGGGGGGGGAGCCCATTTGATGGTCTCTAAGCACCCAATGACCTGACACTTGTGAAGGCAGAGAGCTAGCGGTGCGCTCAGCCCCAGGACTCACCCCTACACTTTGTGCTTCCCAACAGAGAACAAGGGCACACAGTAGATGCCCTCCTGTCTGAGACTTCAGGGGCTGGCTTGACCGGCCTTTGGCCCGGCACGGAGCCCAGTGTCTGGGGCACTGGGCAGATGGCTTTCCTCAGCAACCTCCTGGCAGCTTATTCCTTCATCACTGGTAGGTGCCCTTCCTCCCTTGTGTCTGGGCTTGCTCACAGCATCATGGGGTGGCATCATGGGACGGCGGGCTTCAGGAGGCTGGCTCTGCCTCCAATCTGGCAAAGAGTGCAGGAGCTGTGGCTTTGCCTTGGCTTTCCAGGCAGGGAGAGTTCTAAAGCCCACCAACAGCAGTCTGTATCTGCCCAGGCTGGGGTTGAAGCCGCCCCATGCCTCCTCTTGGTGACCACGTGAGGCCTCAGCAGAGCAGGATTCATGCTTGGCTGCCCGCTCTCTGTGCCCAGCTTACAGCCTTGTCCTGGGCCCTGCCTCGGTGTCCCTGAGAGTCTGACTGATGAAGGCAACATGCCTTTGGTTAATGCTCTGTGCCCTAGCTGGGGTAAGAGGCACATGTCAGTGCCCTGGACCTGGCCTTGCAGGAGCTCGGTCAGGTCCCAGGCTGCTGGGGGGAGGGGGCTGAGACAGGAGAACTGACCACTCGTTCATTCCTGCTTATTTACACATGGACACGAAATGGTCTCTGCTGGCAGAATGCCGTCTCCTGGGGACAGGGATTGCTCCATCACTGCCTAGCATGGGGCCAGCAGCTGCTTGATAGATGCGTATAGATGAATTCCTCTGATAGGCAGTTATGAAGCACCTTCTGGGCCCTGGGAAGCTTGAGGGGAGGGAGTCTGGCTGGCACCTCCAGTAGGCTTCATCTTGCCTGGCGCCTGGGCTGTTTTCCTGTAGCTCTGTGGTGGATCTTGGCCTCAGGCACCTGTTTTATCTGGAGGTGTTTCTGGAGGTGCCAGGAGTGTGAGTTGGCCTAATCACTGAGAAGGTATCGCTGGCCCTCAGGCCCCCAGGCCTAGGGGCTCTTCCTCACTCAGTCTCTGCCTCCTCAGCATCAGAATTCTGCTTCTGCCCACCCATCACTGACATCACTGACGCTGAAGCTGCCCCTTGACACCTTCCCTCAAATGCCCTCAGTCAGCTCCTGTTTGAATTGTGGCAGACTTTGCCCCATCTGGTCTCCAGGGACCCAAAAGGGTACAAACCGTACTTTATTGAACAGACTGAGAATGCAGTTGGCAGTGGTGCCCAGGCCGTCCTAGGGAGCTGGGGAGGCTTGGCCATCTCGGGAGATCTGTCACAAGGAAGCAGGCTTAGCCTAGTCTACCTAGCCCCCAGGACCTACTCAGGAGTGATGGGGAGAAGTCACAAAGACACAGAAGTTGGGGAAACCTCTTTCAGCAGAAGAGATGACCCCATGGGGAGTGGGCGGCCTTGGGAGGCGGCCAGATCCCCTTCCCTGGAGGGCTTCCCACAGAAGCTGGGTCCCACTTCTTGGAGAGGGGATCCTTGTTCAGGGGCTGCATGGCTGTGATGCTACGATTCTGGGTGGTGATCTAGACCCTGTGAGCAGGGGCACTGGCACTGGGTGAGAGGAGAGCATTGCCCGCCAGCCTCAGCGGGCTCTGGACCTTGGTGCTGGGGTCCAGGAAGTGTCTCCAGGGTATCCCCTGTGTTTCCCAGCCCTGTGCCTTATGTCATGGCAAGCAATGCTGGTCCTGGTTATCAGAGACCACAGAAAAGCTGGCCTCAGAAGGAACTCAGACATTCATTTCCAGCTTTCTGCCCATCCCCGGTGGCCAAAGCCTAGCTGCCAAGGCCCAGCTTCCTCCTTTGCCTGGACCGGATGGTCTCCAAGGCTCCTTCCCACCAGGCAGTCTGTGA